TCAGTTCAGGTGCCTTAACATAGGCTGTTATTCCCTTGCTAGCTCATGCTGTTGGGAGAGGACACCTAAGCTTCCTGCTTGGCTGGGCAGACATGCCACTCTACATCAAAACAGAGGAGCACCTCTGAGCTGTGTGGTCCAGAGTGTTGACCAGCCTTGCTTTGAATGAAGGGGCCCAGCTGAGGTGGTTTGACAGCTCCTCTCTTTCACCATGGTGCTGTTGTTGCTTCAGCATCCAAGCAGCTTCCTTCATCAGTGAAGGATTTCCAGGGCAGGAGCCTGCCAGTGCTCTCCTTTGCAGCCCAGTGCACAAGTGTTGGCCAGGACACAATTAAAATGTTCTGCATCTCATACAATGCAAGGTCTCCAGGGAATGGATTTTTTTGGAAGGTTAAGATCAGGTCTATAAACCCCAAGATTTAATATCCCTTTATCTTCCCATGGAGGAACTTGTTCTTTTAACTGCCTCAATATCAATACACCCTGTGTGTAGCAAGTGGCCCAATTTCTTTGTCTCCTGACATCCTGAACCCAGCAGCAGATGGACGTTAACCAGCTCTGATTAGTTGGGAGAATCAAGCATTAATTTTTTATACGCCAGAACCACCTGAGTGACGGAAATCAATTATGGCTGCCCCTCCCCCTTCCATATTAATGTGTTGGCTCTGAGCAGAGATGGAGGGACCTGTTGAAACCAGAAACCCCTATTTCTTCGTTTGACCCTCTAGATAATTAGGGTTAAATTGATATGCTATCGCGCTGGTGACACATTTTATCTGCCTCTGTTTGTACAAGAGGATACAATAGTGGAGGAAGGACCAATTTGTGCCCTGCTTTAGCTAACCAGACTGAGATAAAAGGTGTCACTAGTATGATAACGTTCTTGCCTCACGCTCCTTTATTGTTGCTCAATTTGCCTTTTTTTTTTTTTAATCTTGTTCTTTTTCTTTCAGTACCCTTGGTCATATTTTAACTCCATGCCATCGCATAATGACGCCCTGCTAAATGTGTGTGGAGATAGGCAACTCTGGCTGACAGCCTTCCCTGATAACCGAATTCCAGCCCATCCATCACCAGGCTGCTCTCCTTAACTTAAGGAAAGTGATAACTAAAGCAAGGCCGTTTATCACCGCCGAGCTGTGCGCTTCTTGCTGCCTTGGAGAGAGCTGGCTTCAACAGCAGAAATGCAGCCATGTCACCTCACCTCCTATTTGCATCCCGTTCAACTCCAGGCTCCATTTACCCTGCAGGGTGCTGAGGCAGGGCTGGATGGAAATCTGAGCCTGGGGTGGTGAAAGCTCTCTGAAAATGCTGCGGAGTTGCCACTGCTGACCATGCCTAAGAAGGACTTAGATGTGCTTAGCTGATGGAGGACAGTGTGCTACCTGATGTCACTTGCTCTTCTGAGCAAAGGTGATCTGCATTTTGGGAGCAGGCAGACGTTATGTGCTCCCATCTTTGCTTCTGGGAGGACAGAGCACCAGAGCTGCCTTGGAGGCTGAAAAATCCCACAGCCATTTTCGAGTTTCTCTATACTAAATGCAGTTTGGCTGATGGGGTGGTTTTTGAAAGACAGCTTCCTTCCCAAGGAGTGAGAGCTTCAGTGTTTGGGAAGCCAGTTAGACCTCATTCAAAAACTGGCAGGATCATGGGATGTTGAACGCAGCAAAATGTGCCATCATTTCTCCCTTACCTGAGGGAGGGCCAAATCCTGAGCTCTCTGCTAAAGCAAAGCTGCCCTCAGTGAGCAAGTTTGGCTCTGGCAAGAGCAAGAAGCCCAACTGAGCATAAAAGCTTATTTTTCAAATAAGTGAATGCTCAAGTGAATGGTGGCTCTGATAAATAGACACACTTCCTTGTAGCCCATGGTACTTCTGTTCCCCAGGACAGCCACAGATGTGCCTTATTCAGTCCAGCCTGGAAAAGATGATAGAGAAACTCCTGTCTGGTCTCAAGGCTGAAGAGTAGGGGGGAGCACTGCAGGGATTTCTTGGAGCTGGGGAAAAGATTTTGCAGGGGTATTTTCCTCCCCGTGCCTACCGGGAAACCTGGGTTCTGTGCAGTGAAAGCCCCTGGTTCCCTGTGCCTGGAGTGCTGTATGTTCAGACTAGACCAGCCCCATATAGCAATCCTTTGCTAATCCTTGCTCAGTGGCTGTGACCCCAGTGGCCTGGAGCCACCAGCACTGCACCTTCCAGCTCAGGCATGGACTGATGTTTTGGTCTGTGCTGCTGACAGCTCGCCCAGGTTATAGCGGGAGTGTTGGTCTCCTGGTGCTTGAAAAACTTGAAGCCCCTCTGCTGCTGACAAGGAATGAGGGGAGCACAAGCTTGTAGGGGGAGGGGGAATGTCCTGAGGTCACACAGCTTCACAGGCAGTTTCTGGGGTTGTTACTTGTTTGCAAAAATGTGTCATTTATTTAGTTGACATATTTATTTGGAGCATTTATTTTCTCCAATTAAAGACCCACTGTCCAGCGCCCAGGGCACACTGCCATCAGTCTCAGGGTGAAAATAGAACCAGACTGTCCAGTTTGCTGGGCCTTTTGGTCCCACAGGGATGGCAGTGCTTTAGATGTCATTCGTTGCAGTGGGTGGTTTGCTGTCAATTCCTGTGGCTAACAAGAACAATGCTTCTCTCACTTCTTCTGGGCCCTATCCAGAAGTTAGGTAAATGGATAATTTTTCTTCTAACTGGAGCTAGGCTGAGACCTGTATTAATGAAAGCCTCTTGGGTTTGGAGGAGAAACTAATTTTTTGTAGCATACCTTTTGCTAACTTCTGTTATCATCTTCTCTAGCTAAATGTGAGCAGACTGAAAGAGGTTGAGCTAATCAAGTGCCTATATTTAGACCAGTTGCTTGTTTTAGATGGTTCCTTTTCTTGTGATTCTTGATTTGGGCAGCAGCAAAAAGCAGCTTTCCTGGAGAAAGAGCTTTCTCAGCATGCTGCTTGGGGCTGGTTGGGTCTGTTCGACTAAGGGACATCATGGACATCTGTGTAATGGCTGTAAAGTCCACGGGCTAGGCTGCTGTTTGTGTGACAGGGTGCAATTGTGAAGAGTGACTCCAGGTGCTTTATTTCAGCACAGTGGAGTCAGATGAGCTGTGCTCAGGGATGGGACTGTGCTGTCAACTTGCACGACTTGCCCTGCAAATGCCATGGCCCCGCTCCTTGCAAGCTCCGTCTTTTGAAAGTCTTCCTGCTTTCAAAGAGATTCCTCTGGGCATTCTTATTCAAATGTGTTTGTATGATTTAAATGATTGGTCCTGAATCATCACATGTACATCTTCTCAGAACCAGGCATTTGACTTCGGCATTGGAAATTTACTACTTTGTTAGCCTAAGAAGGGCAAAGGTAGTACACAGGTGGTCCCAATGTGTGCTGGCTCTGTTGGCAACATATTCCCAGGAGATTCCTCTGGATATGCTCCCCAGCTTCCTTTTCTTCCTTTTCTTTTCCTCGAAATGGAGGAGTGACCAAGACCAGACTGCTCTGGTACTGCACTACCCTGGGTCTTACATTATCTGCAAGTGCATTGTCTGTGTTGCTCCTTCATCTCCTTACATGGGGAAGTGTCTGGAGAGATGCTTCTCTGTTCACCAAAGGGTTTGGAGCTGGGCTGACCACTCAGGTACTGCCTGGGATACTGATGGTGCACCTTGGGGTGTTTACCTTGTATCCACTTCTCACCAGAACTTTTTCCTGTATTTCAGTCTTGAGTCTGAAGGCTAGTCTGGGCTATTCATGCTTTCCTCCTTGGAGAGCAAGAGAAGACTTTGCCCTGGACATGGTGGTCTGTGTTGAGATGTTTGATCAGCTGATGCTAGCACTTCTAGCTTTTTCTCCTCCCCTACAATCTCTTCCTACAGCCCCATGTGCCTGAGGAAGTTGGGAGATTCCCCACCCTCTCTGTTTGCAAAAGCTGATTCCTGAGGTTGTGACTTTTAACATGCACAAACAGCGCTAATTTAGTCATTTATTTAGTTGACATATTTATTTGGGATGTTCCTTTGCTTCACTTAAAGATCCTGTGACCAGTGCCCCAGGCATGCTCAGCAGTATGTGAATGAACAAGATCCATCAATTACTCTTGATCAGATCAAAGTGGCCAGGAAATACTCCCATAACTCATGTCCCTGCACAGCTTGGCTGGAGCCACACGGTTTGCGACTCAGCGTTCCCCAGCTGAGGGGCTCATCCTCGCTGTCCTGCAAACACACTGGGATTGGCACAGAGTGGGAGAAGCAGCTTTCCTGAGCTGCTGCTGTCCTTTCAGGCAACCCACCTCCCCTTCTGGTACTGTTTTGTTTTGAGCCCTATTCCGTCAGCTTGCTGTAGGAAGGGGGAGAATCAATATGTGTGCTCACAACTCTGGCTGCTGTGCTCACATCCCTAGTGAGACAGTGTGCACCACCTTGTATCTAAGAGTTGTGTCTGCTCTCTTCTTCCCAGCACCTGCTTGGGAAACAGCCTCTGCTTTCTTAGCACTACAGCATTGCTGTCTGAAAAATGAATGCTTTGGTGTCTCCTTCCCTCCCTTATATCTCTTTTGATGTTTTAACCATAAAGGCCAAATGGAGAAGCACCAGGGCATGACAGGTGAATTGTCAGTCCTGTCTGCCCTGTAAGCTGCTGGCAGAGCAGGATGGTTTTGCAGGGATTTGTGATGGGTTTACTTAGCCAAGGAGAGCCTGGATACTCCAGTTGTGTTTGTGTGTTAGCCATTGTGGAGAAGAGCTGAGTGCTACTCAGTACACAACTGTTCAAAGTGTTTAGTCTAAAAGGTTTCAGCAGCCTGGATGTATGTAAGTCTTAAGCCAAGCTGTACTCCCGTGAGATTTTTTTTGCCAAGAGCTATAGTGTTTCTGATGTGCAGCATGATGTTGCAGCAGACTTGAGAGTCTTTTCCATCTCTGAACAAAATGCGCTTAAGAAAACAGAGTTTGTGTTGTCAAGGCACTGATTAAATCAAACTTGCTCTCTCTTCTCTCTTACAGGTTACCAGGACAATGCCAGTACTTAGGGCTGCCGGTTGCTGATTACTTCAAACAGTGGATTAATCTGAAAAAGGTACTTCTGTGCAAACTGCCATGGTTCCTATCTCCCTGTCTCCCTTCTTCCCTTGTCCTTCACTTTTCCTCTTTAAGGAGGTGTCTAATAACTACTGCTGTTTTGCATTGAAATGAGTTATTTTCTCAGAAGCTGGGCTGAGCGAGTCCTCCAGCTCCCTATTGTATCTCCTCTAATAGAGTCTTACTGTACTTGATGGGATGTGTTCTGCAGCTGGGGAGAATCCCATTGTGGCAGGCACAGTGCAATGTCTGCATAATATTGGGACACTGTGAGACCCCTTTTCAGTGAAGGTTCTGTTGTCACCAGTATTGCTGACTTTGTTTTGTTTTGCAGCCATATAAGGCTCCTAGGAGCATGGCTCCCGTCAGATGAAATTCCGGTTAATAAATGTGGAAATACTCCAATATAAAAATCAGCATTTCTCTTTGTGGCATGGGGAAAGGGAGCTGTCTCAGCAGCACATCCACCTAAGAGATCAGTGATCACTTTGCTAAGCAAAATGCCTTGGACTGAGTACTGTCTGGTGCCTTGTCTTTTGCTGCACGCCTTCACTGGGTGGTTAAGGAGCAGCATGCTGTGCATCCACAGGGACCCCTGGCACAGCTGCTCATCTGCACAGAAAAACATGGTGATGCCATAAGTCACAATCCGAAGTGGGAAGGAAAGAACAAGTGTGATTACAAGCAGGAGCAGGGTGAGGGAGGAGGCTGCAGTCTGTGCACAAGAGAAATCGGGTTGGCCCTCCTGGTTAAACCTTTAGATGAGTAAGATTCCCTTCCCCCATCCAATTTAGTGCTTTATTTGGGTTTCTATGCCTTTTCCTGGTAATTAAGGGTCTCAGTAAGGGAATTTTCTTATAAACAGCTCATTGTTCTTGCGGGCTTTTCTTTTGTTCTTTTATTTATTTATTGTTTTAAATGGAAGCGTGAGTGACAGGCTGAGCGGCCGCAGAAGGACAATTTGCATGATCTGTTCCGTCAAATAGGGTAGAACATGAACTTAACAAGGGATGCTGGCAGCACATTCCTGGCTGAACTTGTCAAAGGGTCTTGTATTTCCCTGCTGTCAGAGCAAATCTTTTGGCTGATTGCTGGTCCTTGGTAAATGAAATCTGAAAGCACATTGGGGCATTCTGCAGTTCAGTGACCATTAATGATCGCCATTTGAAGTTCACTAAACTTCCGGTGAATGGATAGCAGCTATATAACCAGCAGGTTGATGGCTGCAGAATAATAATACTAAAAAAAAAAATCCCTGTCTACTGTGATGTTTGCTAAGAAGTAGGTTGATCCAGCCATGCTCCTCCTCTGGGCCTTGGGATGAATGACTTATGGCACTTTCCCATAGTTCAAGGCTTCTGGATTTCGTGTGTTAGGAGCTGGGATTCCTCATTATGTAGATGTCCAGGCAAGTGTCTCTTATTCAAGGTGAGCATTCATGTACTGCATGTCAACAAATACTGTGATACTAAACTGAGGGCTGCTAAGCATCCATGAAGTCCCAAGCACAGAGCTAAAGGCAGGAGCAGGAGGGAAGTTGTTACAGTGAAATGTTCCTCTATCCAGCTCCCTGAGCATGTAGGATGGGGGCACGTGGGTTGGGTTGTCCTCCTCTGCAGATGTGTTACTTGGAAAGTAAAGCTTCAACCTCCTTCAGATTGTGCAGGAAAGGGGATGTGAGAGAGAGATGTTGATCTTCTTCCAGGCCTCTAGTCCCTTAAAAACAATGAAGTTTTTCTGACACTGTAATACCTGACACCCTCTGAACACAGAATGGTTCCAGGGACCCTGTGTCCCTCTGGGAAGTGACCCATGTTGCAGAGAAGACCAGAGGCCTCTCCTGTCTTGTGGCTAAGAACTGCTTCTCCTAGGACTTAACCTGGGGTGATGATCCTTCTGTGCCATGCACTACTTTCAGGTGCTTGTGAGGCAACTGCCTGTGTGTTTTCACAAGAGAGAATTGCCTGCCTAGGTAACTAATGCTGTTGAATCAGATGGACCCAGTGGAGACTCAGTCTCTATTGAATGTGTCCCAGTGTGAGACAGGAGTGGACAGGTAACTAGCCCTTCCATTCACCCCTGCATAGCTCAGGTGGCCCTTTCCCCCTCCTTCTGGCATATTCCTGACCTAGAAATACCTCCTAGGCTGAATATGCCTCTGACCTGATCCATGAAGTAAGTGAAGGTGTTGGAAGGTGGGTGGGACTTGCAGTGTGAAACTGATGATTTCTAGGTCACAGATAATGCAGAGACGTGAATGTTTCAGATCTCAAGAAAACAGGCACATATGACAGAGAGCAGTTCCTGAAGGATGGCCCCACCTGCACCTGCTGGATCTTCTTTGAGTCTTTGCTTATGAGCAGTGATAACAAGAGGACCTGTCTGAATTAGGGAGCTCCTGCTGCAACTACCAGGCTATGCTGAAGTAGGGTTACACATAGACAAGTTTGTGTACCTGTGTGTATTGCAGTAGCAACAAAATAGGTTCCAGATTCCTCTGCCAAGGCACACACACCAGCTTCCAGTCCTCTTTGTTTCTTGTTTTGTATCATTTTAAAAAACAGTCCTTGTCTGGACTCCCTCTGCCAGAGCATGGGATGCTCCAGAGCTCAGGAGCTCTTCTTCCTGCAGTGGTGAGAGAGTCTTTCTGAAAGTTCATTTGCCAATAAACGTCCCTTTCCACTGCTGTGCTGCAGGAGCAGTTGAAGTGAGAACTTCGTGCCTGCAGGCAGCTTTCACAGTTTCCAAGACCTGCCTCTTGGGCAAGCTGGAGACAGGAGTTGCCCCCAGTAGCTGTCATGATTACTTTGCCTCAGGCAAACGTCGTTGGATTGATCTGGCCATTCAGGTGGTGGTGAGCTCCACATCTGACTGCTGCAGTGCTGGCCACAGTGCCTTGGGATCTGTAAAAAAGCCTTCTGTGGAGGAGATGGGGGGAGAAAAGCTGCCTGTGCACTTGACCACATTTGCTGAAGTTTTACCTTGCCCTGTGCCCCCCCAGCCTGCTAATGCATCCCTTCTGTCAAGCCTGGTCGGTGTTTGCTGACATTTTTAATGTCACTGAGCGATCTCGTATCTCTGGTGAACTGTCAGTGTAGAGCTGACTCGGGGCACAGAGTTTATCATGTTCTTCACTTCGATTAGCTCAGCTTGTGGGAGGGGAGCAGAAAGCAGAGGAGGCTTTCTTGGAATGCTGCAACATTTCAGATATCCCCCTAAACCATCTCAATAGAGAACTACCATCCCATCTGCCAGTTCTCCTTAGGGACCTGTCATGTTGATCTGCAGAGGCCCCGTGGGTTAGGATTGAGGTGCAGAACCTGAGCTGCATCACTGGAGCTGGATGCTCAGGGTGGAAATAACAGAGAGGGCTTCATGTCAGGGGAGAGGGGCACCAGTGGAGTAACGTGTGCAGATAGCAGGAGGCCATGGGTCAAGATTTATGCAAAAAGGAAAACTGCTGCAGCTAGCAGGCTACAACCAAGGTGCTGCCCCAAGAGTATCCTCAGGTAGCCTGGGTAAACCCATTGCTGCTTATTCTAACATAAGGATCAACTCTCTTTTGTGCTCCCTCTGCACTTTCAGGAGCCTCTGTGGTTTGTTTTCCAGGTCCCACTAGAGTTAGCAGCATGGTTGGTCCCATGATGAATCCTCACCCCTGGGGTGGAACCAGTGCTGTGCTTGGCTGAGGACACAGTGCCTGCAGTCACAGGGTGTCCAAGAGCCTGGGAGTGGGAAACCCAGCAGGCAGTAGGAGTTATAGGAGCACCATTGGTCTGGGAGCACATCACTGAAGGGAGAGTGGTTTAAAGGAGGGAGGAGGTGGAAGAAGAGAGGTGAAGATAGATTTTCTTACAATGAGCTTGTGCAAGAAGGATGTTAGAAAGATGATGAGGGTATCAAAATGGCCAGACCAGATATGTAACCTAGATGATCTTTATGCCAGAGGCCAGTAGCTGATGCTCAAAGATGTAAAAGGGAGAGCATGGCTTGAGTCAGCTTTCTCTGATTCCCAGCAATTGTCTCCTCAAGAACTGAGAGCTGTCCCTGGACCACTGTATCTAGCAAAGTTTGTCTACCAGAAACTTGTACACCCTTTTCTGAATCTGATCATGCTCTCAGTTTCTACAGCATCCTGTGGCAATGACTTTTGCTATTTAATTATGCATCAATTATACTCTGTTTACTCATACATTGTGTGAAGATGCAGGTCCCTTTGTTTCTTTTAAACCTATTGTCAGATTATTTTCTTTGACCTAGGTCTTGCATTGTGTGAAAAAACATGTGTTTCTAGTTCTTCTTCATGGTGTTACTCTTGATTTGAGACCTCAATCATATTCTTGCTCAATTGTCTTTTTCAGTACAGCAAAACTTGTTGGAGGGCTTGCACAAAGGCACTTGTGGGCTCTGTGACTCTAGAACTGGCTTGTGGAATTCTTAACATGTATGCACTATCTTTCCTGGTCTGCCATTTATTCTCTGGATGTTTTGCAGTTAAAAGATAAGAGGAGCGGTTTATGTATCCACTAAGGGTTTGCTTTATTCCTTGTTTCTCAAATTATATTTATTTTATTTTTTGTTAAAGAAGACAATCTTCATACCCATCACAGAGCTGTCCCTTTCTCCACACAGCTGTCCTGGCATCTTTGACCATCTTTGATTTCTGTCCAGAGGGTACAGCATGTCTTTAGATACAGTAATAGTGGCTGCTTTAGGAGTGAGAGAAGACTGGTCTTAGTTTGACATCCTCCTGAAATTCAGGGGAGTTTCTATGAAAGGTAAGAGTTGAATGATGTGTCTGAAGGAATGTAACTTTCCCTCTCTGGGCATGAGGAAACAGAGCTTGACAGAGCCTTGGGGAGCACAGTGTGACCATGCTGGGTGCTGTGGCTGTGCACAGAGCTGGCCTTTTCCAGGGCCGGCCTTTACTGATCTGCAGATATTCCTGTTTGGAAATGAACTGTTAATACACATCCACAAATATTTTAAGGTCACCTA